TTTTAAGAAACCGGTGACATCGTACCATTTTTTGACATGGCCTCTATAATTTTATAGGAAAATGCTATTTGTACCGCAGGGATTGTACCGCATGGTTTACCCCTCATTGAAAATGTAGTATGAGAATACGTTTTTTCAATTAAATTATTTGAAAAACGTATTCTGAGAATACGTTTTTCAACTAAAGTGTAAACCCTGCGGTACAAGTTGCGGTACGTGTAGCATTGTCCAATTTTATATGTATCAAGTTTTGTAAATGCTGAATAATATGCACGTTTATTGGTTTAATTTTGAATTGTTATATAAGATGGAAAAAAAAAATTGAAACCGGAAAATTCAAAATAATATAATTAAATTTCTCTTTGATTTAATAATATATACTCGATAAAAGCATTAGTTGGTAAAACAATTCGTATGGAGATGCTACGGTCCCCGTTACGGAACCATTCCGTCGAAATTTGTAACTGTTAGATCAACTATCTCCAACAGTTACGTGATGATCTAACGGGTACAAACCCAACAAAATCATTATGTAATAGAACAATAGCATTTCCCCAATTTCGTAACTGAGCTATAATCTAAAACTGACCCATTCAAATGCTTTTATGCATCCGAAACCTAAACATTTTTTTATAAGATTCTGTAAAACCAGATGACATAAATGCTCTACTTACAATTTCTATCAAGTTGGCCCATTAGCTGAGTTGGTTAGGTTATTTTTACCAGCAACTCATCTCAACTGGACAAACCTCGCACTCGTACCTTTTTTCAATTAAACAAAAGAACCCATCGTGCCCATTGGGTGCAAGAGAGGATACAGACATCATAAAATAATCAAGAAAACAAAATTGTACAAGAAAGTATTCTCTACATAATTAACCTTACGAATGCCACAATCCAAGAGCAGAAAAAACCTCTCCAACTCTACCAAATGTTGCATGGGCATTTTACATTTAATCAACGGTACAGATTGAAGAATCACCCGTTACAAGGTTGGTCAATAAAACTATAAATTAAAAAAAAAAATTAAAAAAAAAAAAAAGAAGAAGGATAAGATTAAAACCCAAGTTACCCGTCTACCCACAAAACGTAGCTCTGTCTGAAAACATTTACCTCGTTTAAATAATAATGGGAGTTCAAAGCAAATGTAAGAGGTGAAGCGCACGTATCACCCGGAAAACTCAAAACGTGTTTGGTCACATCCAATGCTTCTTCTAAACCAATCGGCAGTCACACGAATCAGCTGTGGCTTTGTCATATCATTTGTTGATGGATATCGGCAGCATGCTGGGCTATTTCGGCAAACATGGCCTCATCAAAGAATTTATTACTGCTCACATCCTCAGACATTCCCTGACAGACAAAAAATAAATGACAAGGTTATTACAGTCGACTAAGTACGCGCTCATTATTTACATCCTTGTTCTTTCCAAACTACAGGGTGTCTCGAGTATAGAACTGCCCGCGTCATTATTTTTTTGAATCAGCGTCTCAATTCCTTTTTAATTTTTTTCTTGTGGATATCAAGGTCTCCACGGTTTATTACATTTCGGATCACTTTATTTTTTCCAGGGTTCCCTTTGTGGTTCTTCAATTATATGTCCATTTTATGTTAGTGTTTTCCAATAAGTTATGGGGGAAAAGTTCGGTATTCATAGTGATGAGAAAAAACAGAGTAACAAGATCCTTGGGTAATACCTTACGACGCCTCGTCTTGACCATAAACTCACGAGCTAAATGCTGGATTGGGGCAGGCTCCAATGGGCGCAGGACAATACCCTTATCCAGCGGGTCTCCAGGGACGATAGCCCAATGGTCGAATACCGACTGGCAGAAAGCTTGTCCCTGAGTGTGATACCTCAGGTCCGTTTCAAAACCAAATGACTCTATCACAGGTAAAAATGCCTACAAATTCAGGGGAAAAACAAAGGATGTCACTGATAAGATATTATCACACTAAAACATATACAATCGGAGAGGAATAATTGTTCCTAAGCAGAATAATCGCAGGTGTCACACCTTAACAATGTAGGCCGGAGTCCCAGGTTGCGGAACATCTGCGGTGACATGGCCACGTCTACGAGACAGCACTGTGTATATTGCAGAAACACAATCTGATGGAGTTTGTATCTGAAAAAAATAAATAACAAAATTTCAGCTATAGAGCAAATTAGCATAAAAGAGGCACTATTTGTTCACTTTTTTCCGATTAAAAAAGTTTATCCCATCTTTGGCCATTCAACCTTAAGAACCTGATGTATATGAAAATGAAGCATCACTAGGTTCAGACAAGAGTCAGCCCACTTAAAATAAAAAAAAAAAAAA